CTTCCCCGGGGCCAGCACACCATGCAAATCCTCCTGAGCCATTGCTCAACCAGACGCTGTGTTAACTCCAGAACCTTTGTGCAACGCTGGCCTCTGGGGGTGCGGGGGAGGCCGTGGGGAAGCTCAGGGCTGCTTCTCCCTGGTGGCTTCACCAGGAGGGTTGAGATGGCTGCTGCCCACCAGTCACTGCAGTAAGGGGTTGAGCTTTGCTCCGGGCAGGCTTCAACCTCCGGCCCCGGAGGGGTGTTCAGGGCCAAAAGCCCAAGGCACGGAGGGAGGCAGGTGACAGGGGAACAGACAAATGCTGGGCTGGAGGGTGAGCACTGAGGGCACCTGCACAGGCAGCGCTGCCCTCCCCAGCACCAGCCTCCAGCAGGACCCAGCCCTGCTGCTGCTGCACTTTTCTGTGCGCTTTGCTGCAACATTTACCCTGTGGAGTTACTGGCTTCCTGCATTTGTCTCATGGCAAGGCTGTACCCCATCTGCCTCTGAGTCACACGGCACAGAGCTGCTGTGTGCTCGGGACACCTCTTCCTCTTCCTCTCTGCAGCCTCAGAGTTGGGTGAAAACAGCAGTTTGATGCTGAACCTGCTTCCTTGCACCGTGACATCGCCACAGCCCCCATGTGACACTGCACACAAGCGCTTCCATTACATCGCAGCCACTTTCCCACAGCCCGTACAGGAGCCTTGGGTCAGATTCCTGCCCCTGGAAATGCCTTAAAATGTTAGGAGTTGAGTTAGCCCCATCCTGGAAATCCCCAGTGTGAGGGAACCAGATGGGTTCAAATCAAAGTTCAGCGAGCAAGAGGGGCAGGAGGCAGCTGGCTCAGGGGAGAGGCGAGCAAACCCCAGACAACAAACTCCTCATTCCCATGGTTGTGCCCTGACACTTCTCAAGAGCCTTCTGCACCTCATTCTCCAGCTCAGCCTGGGATCTCCCCCTTTCAAGGAGAACAGCAGCAATTCCTCAGCCTGTCAGAGTAGGAAGAGCTGCTCAGAGAGGAGCCAGGCTCCTGTGGGGCTCAGCATGAGGCTTTACCAACAACACAAGGCTGACAGGATGAGGGCAGAGCAACCCCACCGCGCTACAGGAAACTTTCAACAGGGTGCCTGTGCCTGACCTCCTTTGCTCAGTAACCTGACATGAAGATCTAACCTATTTCTGAAGGGTAGGAAACACGATGTGAACGCACAGCAAGCATGACAGGTCCTCCCCACTGCTGCAGCCAAGGAAGTGGTGAGCCACAGGATGCATCTTGAAAATTCCACAACAGCACAGCGAGAGCCCCCCCGAGCGCAGCATCCCGCGGTGCACAGGTAGGCAGCTCCTCTGACTCAGTGCAGATGATTGTGCAGGGGTGAAAAAAATATGCAGTAGTGACAGTTCTGATCAGTGTTCCCCACATTTCCCAAGTTCCTGAGCATCACAGCGAACAGGTCCACTGGGATGCGGGGCAGACAAGAAAGCAGTACTCACATTTGAACACAGGATGCTCCCGGGACAGGAGGCAGCAGGTTCAACATGCAGAAGCCTCACGTGAGAGAATGAGAGAACTGGGAGAAACACTGGCTGGATTTCCAGTACACGCAGCAGCAGTTTGTGGGAATAACTTTGAGCAGATTTGTGTTTGGCACTGACCCTCCCAAACTGCTGTGTGTGCCACCAGGACTGGCACTGCAACGGAGGTTAACATCATAACCAGAGTCACCACCAGCTCTTCCCTTCCTGGTTATGGCCCAGCTTTGATAGAAATACAAATGAACATCCTGCCCCCCATCCACACATCCCACAAAACTGAAGTTATCTATTAAAGTATTTTACAGGAAGACCAGCCTTAAAATCCTGCAGCATTTGTCAAGTGCAGACCCCACCACAAAACAGCAGAGAAGTCTTCTCATGGTTAAAAGGTCTGATCGGATCTGTGACACATCACTCGATGCCCTCCCCACCAAGACCCCAGCCATCCTACCTGCACAGAGCCACGGCAGCTCACTGTCACTTCTGATGACATCCTCTGGAGGGTTCCTCTCCCACAGTCAATAAATGACCTTTCAGACTGTGAGGTTCAGATTTCAGATTTGTTTTTTGAAACAAAGCACTATCACCAGGAGCACCTGCTCCCCTTGTTTCTGATTAACTAGAAATAGCCATTGCTCTGTATTAAATCAAGAGCACAAATTTGAATAAAGACCACAAAGTTATTTAACAAGTCAGGTAAGAACACGCTGTACTGCAGCAGAGCAGGTGGGAGGGGAAGGTTCTGATACAGAAATGTGAGCATTGATATTCCCACTGCATTTCCTTCCCAGTTCACACCAAAGCTTTAGAGCAAAGTCCTGACACGTTACAGTTAGCATATTATCATGCTCAACATCTGGCACAGATGTGCTACATAACTGGATAAAATATGCACTTATTTCCAGCCTGAACTGTGGGACTGGTCATTAAAACTGAAGCACAGCTGGACTATTTATTCCAATAACTGAGAGGACTATTCTTTAGTAGCCAAGACATCCAACAACACAGCAGTTCTCACACTGCATTAGAGCCACAGGCCTGCACGCTGCTGCCCCACTGCACCTCCACTGCCAGTGCATCCCAGTGCAGGGAGCTGACTCCAGTAATGCCAACAAACAGGGAACACTGGACACGCCGTTACCTGCTACAGCAATTTGCTGTAGTTTGATTTCTTTTTTGACCTGCCACACTGCACCAATGAACAAGCCTGTCAACAGGCTGCCACCAGACCACATACGGAGATCTAAGGTTGTCAGAGGAACCCCAGGGAGGAAGGATAATTTCTTTGACTTTCCTGGAAAGCCAGCTAAAATGTTGAATGGTCAAAAAGCCACCAGAGAGCAAATAATTCAACTCAGCAGTTTTTATTTATATAACACAAGTTCTTACTTTGCCATGGTTTTTACATGGCTGCCTCCATTCAGTACATAACTACACACTGCATAATGATACAGAAAGTTCAGCAGAATGTCAGCCTGTGAGTATAAAATGTTAATCTTCTGATTGCAAGAGAAGCAGCATATATTGGTATTTCACCAGAAAAAACAAAAACCACCACGCCAAGTAGCACAGTGGCTGAGTTGAGAATAGTACTAATTAAAAACAGCAGCAAGCAGCAAGTTGCTGGACAATAACATTAAAAACCAATTTTTTTCCTGTAATTTACAAATATGCAAAGTATCAGGTTACTTAAGAAGCATTTTGCTTACTAACAATGAAACATTACTAATTTGTAATGTATCATAATTCACCAGGTATACAGGTTTCTGTGTCCCTGTGGTTTTGATGGCACATGGTGCCAGTCTGGGTAGGTCAGGCCTTGGACAGGCAGAGGGAAGAGCAGTGATGGACAGAACCATTCCTGAGGAGGGTTCTCGGGAACGGCTGCTCTCCACTCTCCCCTTCATAATTTGCCACTCAACAACCTTGGTTTAACCACAAGATGGACGTATTTAAAAAAAACATAACAAAACACACAGATACAATGTGTATCAACAAATCAACTGCTTCTGGCCTGCAAGTGCAAGAAACATCTTTGCATTCTAAGCACAATGAAATCCCAGGACCAGAACCAATTACTACAGCAATTGGTTTTGCATATTTAAAAATCTGTTACAGTATCTACAGTAAAAAAACACCTTACAGAGTAAGAGGGAATGAAAGGGGAAACAGTCTCACTGAGTAAGTCTTATTCTATGTTTTTTGGATGCTGCTATAGTTTGACAAAGCTGAAGGGGACGGGAAAACATTAGTAAGGAAGAAGATGAAGCAACAGCTTCACTGAGAAAAATATTAAGGAATGCTCAGTATGGGCAGCAGTCCAGACATGACTGCTGTTTTACTGTATGCTCAGAACTATTGCTGTCTGAAGACAAAAGGCACAACATGATAAATCCTCCTTGTCTGCGTTGTACAGAGACAGGGTAAGACAGGTTACCAGCCAAGGGCAGTGGTTTTGAGCAGCATCAACAGCGTGGTCATCCACATGTGCTGGCAACTGCATTCTTCAGTGAATGCCAAACACACAACTTGCATGTAGCTTTGGAGCAGTGTCAGGCCTCTCATCCTGAGACAGGATTGTGACCCTAGCTCCTCCGATTTCTGGGAGCTGAGCAGCTTGTGAAGCACTTGTGGTACATACTGGAGAATTACCTCATCTCAGCAAGGTAAGCTTAAGTGGGAGGGGTATGGAAAGCATCATTAGAGAAGTGTACCAATAAAACCAAATTAAAGTCAGCTAAACCTAGCTTCATCCTAGATTTATCATCCAATATTTTCCAGATCTGCACGGGAGGATTTAATAAAGAGGCTTAGTTAAGAGCTAAGAACAGCCTTGACAATGCACTTTAGTCTTCACAAATAAGCCTCACACTAGTGCACAGGCAGTACCCCCTTCTCTTTCACAAGTCCCCCCGAGTCCTCCCTCCCTGTGCCTGATCATACATTGGCCATCTCAAAACTGAAGCTCATGGGAGTAAGTTCTGAACCACTGCAGGAACTTAGGGTGTGCCTGACTCACCACACATCCCCAAGGACAAATCCTGCTCTGAAGCTGCAGCCTCTTCTGTTCAGCATCCAGAACCTCTTCAGCACTCTCTGGGGAAGGTGGGACCCTAAGGCTGCCTCTAAGAGGGACACACTGTCATGTCTGGATCAGAATTTGCTGTGAGCATACCACATCTGGGACCCAGCCTCCACCTGGAGCCTGGTACTTCCAAGGAATAAGGAGGAGCCCTCAGAAGGCATCTATGGCAGCTACAGAGTGCAAACACCAACCCTACAGCTTTTCACATGCCTGGCTGCCCTCAGCATCTGCCTCATATACCTGGGTTCTGAGATTTGTAGGTCAGTATCTCCGCAGCCAACCTTTGGGGATCCAGAAGCCGAGGGAAACGACTCATCACAGCATCAACTAAATGGGGATGGAATATGCCACACAGCTTGACATGCACATTGGCCCTCTCCTCTGCAAACTGGTCAGAGACAGCCCACTGGCAGGAGTCCCCGTATGCTGGCCCTGGGGCTCTCTGTACAGAACGAGGATCTCGCACACTGGTGGATCTCACCTGAGGAGGTGGCATCTGGTATGGTTCAGACCAGTACTCTCGAGAATGGGATGGAGAGGCATTATAGTCATTGGGCAGACTGTATTGCCCAGCGTTAGCTGGGTGTACAGGCACTCCATAGCCTGAGAAAGAGTGAGGAGGTCCTGAGTGAGAGATCTCAGGGCTATACTGCAAGAAGCTAGCACCAGAGGAAGAAGATTTATGGGAACCATGCTTGTAAGAGACCAGACCATTTTGCTCTAAGCTGGGAGAGTGTGGGTAGACAGGTCTTTGCCTACCACAGGTGCAGACTGCCACCTGATCAGCATGGGAATGATCACAGTGACTGGCAGATCTGTAAGGCCACATGTCAGACAGTTGGTTCTCCAAAGACCCAATGCCTGAATCAAGATGCTCCTGAGAGATATAAGACAGAGAGTCCATAGGAGGCTGCTGGTATCTGTCAGAGGACCTGTGGCTCCCACTGCTGGGAGGGACACTGCCTGACACACAGCCCTTGACCTGAAGTGGAACATCACTGGGCTTTGCTTTGTGAGTCAAGCTTTTCCTCTCTGCAGAGACCTTCTGCAAAGAGCTTTTATCACTCTCCGTGGGCACAGAGCACAAAAGCTCTGCCTGGGAACCTCTTTTGCCCTTTTTCTCCTCCTTAGTACTGGTACTTCTGGTAGGAGACAACCTTGCATTGGCTCGGAGTTCATCAGCTAACGAGCGCTGGGGCTGATTGATCCTTTCAGGGTGGTAGAATTTGCACTTAATTCCATAAGTGCATTTCTTCCCTGCAAGAAAAGGCAGAGCATGAAATGAGCGTGGAATGACCAGCTGAACTCTACTAAATGCATGAATTACACTTCAGAACTCATGTTCAGAAGGAAGGTCTTACCATAAGGGCACTGTTGTTTCTTGTGTTCTGGCACCACAGGTTTCTTTCTGAGGAAGTTATCCAGGCTGGGGCCATGTCGCCCTAAGGGATCATCTGGAGGCATAAACCTACAGAAAAAGAAATCTCAGTCAGGAGCAGTTTGCATTCTTGAGTCAGGGTTTCATTTCTTCTAGAAGTCTCCCATTTCACTGAAGGTTAAAAACCATCTGAGCCCTAACAAGCTTTCCCACTTCCCTGCAGTGACAACTCTCCAGTCACCTAGTAAAGACTGGCATGAAGTGCTTCACTTCAGACACAGAAGAGGTTCTGTGATCTACTGATGACCAGAAGTAGTAGTTGCTGCTGGGCCAGCTAACTATTGTCCTGTGAGGAAATCAAGTCCTGAGGCTCTCCTAGGAACTCCCCTACAGAACTCCTAGCTCCAAGCCATGAACAGCTATTAAGATGATTCCAATTCCAATGCCTTTGTACCTCACCACAGTTGGACAGTTCTTCTCACCACACTTCCTTCTATCAAAAGATATCTCTACAGGATTTTTTTTTCCACTCTGTACCAGCATTTTGATCTTTTCATGCATCACTTGCCATTGCTTCATTAAAACACGACAGCATGCTCACATGGATCTTTTTTTAAAAGCAAAGGAAGAACGGGAACATACTTGTCATTAACAAAGGAATACATCAACAGACGCTCCTCAATGAATTTCTTCCACTCAGGACGCTCGTTCTGCAGGTCCCGATAAGTATCATTAGAAACCACAATGCCATCAGACTCATGTGCCAGTTTCACAATGAATCGATCATCATAACAGACGACACGTTTGCCTCCAACCCGTCTGGAAGGGGTGAAGACCAGAATTTTCTTCTTTTCCAGGTCACGGAGAATATACTGATCTAAAACAAACACAACTGTCAACTTCCATGGCCCAAAGACCTTCACACAGATAAAGTAACATTATAAATAAGTGACAAAATTAATGTAAATAATTCCATCTCTCCAGAACCTAGCCTGTATTCTCAGCTCTTTCCTTATGCCATCCATCAGGCTGTCAGAGGTGGATTCCCAGCCACAATGCCTGTACAGCACCCAAGAACACCCAGAGCTCACCACAGAGGCTGCTCTTATAAAGAGGTTCCCACCCACATAATCCTCTGCATGCAAAGTGCAATTTGCATTTAGGCCTGGCAGGCTGGCACCTTCTGTAGGGCCACACTACATAGAGATTTCTGAGTAGTTACTTAGAAACCTCAGCTGTTGGCAAGTTCACAGCAAACTCCCCTCAACTTGAATAATTTGACTAAACTCCCATCACACTAACTTTTATCACTGTACAGTCTACAGTATCAAACAATTACTGTCAAATACACACATGAAGATGTGTCCCTGAAAGGGGGGAAAAAAATGCAAGTAATAAAAGGCAAGAAGGTAGGAAGCAGAGTGGTATTGCATTCTTTGTTCTCTGAATTATTCCAACTGATCCAGGCAAGAACTTGCTTAGGGAAGAAGTTAATGGCCAGTTCTCACTGGTCAGCTCAGCTTACCAGATCTCCTACTACTCAGATCTTCCATTCATAAGTTAATTACTAACTAGTCAGAACTCTGCAAGCTCATTAAGTGACAAAGCAGTAAGCTTGTAAAGCTACTTTTGGTTTTCATATTTCCACACCTGTTATAAGTACATCTGGTCGTGGCTGCTCCTTCCTCCAAGATGGCACAAAGACTGTAATATCCTTGTGTCCTCTGTCCCAAAACCACTGGACAGCCAGAAGGATGCCCCGGCAGGAGAACACTTCTTTATTTCCATGGCTGCATCAAAGAAGAAAGGATAATTTCAATATCCAGGTTATGTGCAGATGAGTCAGGCAATAGACTACACAAACTGATCCAGCAATTCAGACAACCTTTAGTGAAGAAGTGTTAGAGTAGCACAATCAGCATTCATTGCTCATCTCATGTAAAGAACAGCACCAAGATCTTCACAGTTGCGTTGCTTTCAGTACCTCAGCACACCAATAAATACTCAAATCCTCAGTGGGAGGGAGAAAGCAGCCATAGCTGTTGCAGCTGCTTTGAAACAGAGCCTTTGCTCCAACTCTGGACTCTAGATCTTTATTTTTAGCCCCTAGTACAGTGTGATCTTAAACACCCTTTGTCCTATTCTGCCAGCCAGCACCAGTGGCTGACCTCTGCCAGTGTAAACTGCACCCTCACTAGGTGTTCTGCTGGTAAAGTCAAGGAAAACAACACACTTCATGCCCTCAAGGACATCAGCACTGAGGAAAGATGCTTCTTCATTATATCATGGCCCAAAAAGTTGGTTACAAATGCACTATTTGCAGGACACAGCAACACCTCCTGTGAGCGGGATCAGTGCTGAATGCCTCAAAAGCAGTTTGAGAACAAAGTCTGACAACAGCATCAGAAGCTACATACCAATGCAAAAAGCTGCTGCTTAATTATTCATTAGGTCATATCAATAAGTTTCCAGAACTTCTATGAGGAAACTACCACTTCTGCTTTACAAGTGCCAGTATTTACAGTGTAAGTAGTTCTTCTGTTGATAACAGTTCTGGCAAACTCACATCTTTTCTGTATTACAGACCAACTTGTCATACTGAAGATCTAACAGCCTGTGTTTCGGGATGACACTCTGCTAAGACATACTCTACTGAAGACAGCTGGTCCCTAATTCAGTAAGATTTTCCCACCTGGGCACTACCCCTGCTCCAAGTTTTACTCTTCCCATCTACACTTGAACATTTCAACTCCCACCTCCACTTATAGCATGGTAGTGAACTCCTCCATAACTTAATTACTGAAGAGTAATTAATTTACTTACATCCCAGCAGAGGCATTGCTAAGAAGCATTACTCCTGTTGTACAACTGTACCACTAGAAAGAAATTTTATTTCTCCTCTAGTCCTCACCCTTCTCTGAAGCTATTAAGAAAACTAAAGAGTTGGGCCAAAACAATTATTCTATAAGAACTACACATTTAATATGAAAACTGACACCTAAATAGACACCTAGCACATCCTCATTAAGAATCCCAAATTACAGAAAGGCTGACATTAACAATCAGAAGAAAAGATCACAGAATCACAGAATGGTTTGGGTTGGAAGGGACCTTCAAGATCATCTAGTTCCAACCCCCCTGCCATCAGCAGATGCTCTGAATTTTTTCCAGTGTCAGGCTGGTTTTGCTATAGATACCAGACACAGGGTACTGTGGTCTTTTAGAGATAAAACAGAAAAGCAGAGATTTTTTTTTTTTGAGCCCCTGCTACCAATCTCAACTCTACAGAAGGTAGCTAATTGGGCTGATCTGATTTGGCAACAGCCAAGAAAAAATTCCCTTAGAAGGAAGTAAAAGCTAATTTCCACTATGATTTGCATATGTTTGTCAAGAGCTGTTCAGGGAGGCCGCTGTACACACTGCAAATGAATCAGCAGGGAACATCACACCATCAATACAGGAAGTTTCAGAATGGAATTCCCCTTCTAGCAAGTTGCTTAAAAAAAAGCCAGACTGCTTTTCTCATGTCAAACTCTGGTCTATCTGCAGCGTTATTACCGCATGGCCTGCCCTGAGTCACATTTGCTGTGATCTCTCTCTTGCACTTTTCGGGACAACTTTCATGGGTAAGAGGCTCCTCACTCAAAAAACACAACCAATTCTGTTGTTTAAGCCTGAGCACTTATCTAAGGTAAACTTTCGGCAAGAGTCACACTTATCAGCTCAGCTTTCACAATGGGCCATTTTCCTCAAGTGACTGCACAGCTGCCCAAGAGCCACAGCGACAGGTCTCTGCTCTCCTGCAGATGCCCAGGTCCCAGCTTTTCCTCACTGTCCTTGCTCCATTGCCACCAGAATTCCTTATTTACCCTGGGACTCGCAGGCTCTGTTCATCAGTTGCACAGCAGACTGTACCCCATCTTTTCTGAGAACTGTCAACCAGGGCTTAGAGAAAACCACACCTGCAAGTACATCTTCACTCAGCACTTTCACCTCAGACAAAGCCTACAGTAACACATGCAGCAGCTCTGTGTGTCCCCTGTTGGTTATTGGGGTTTTTTAAATAAAAAGGTCTGTGTACCCAAACACACATGATGAGATCTGTTAAACTAAAGCACAGTGAAAGAGGCTGGTGTATTAAATTAATGGAGCCCAGACCCACCTGTGCAGAGGTGGAGAGTACAGCAGGGGAAGGTAAGGACATCAGGCCAGTAAATATCCAGCCAAGCGATTTTGGGTGCTCCATGGATATTAGGGCTCCTGCACTCCCAAAGTTACTGTTCCAACCCAAGCAGCCTCGCAGGCTGCAGCACCCACCAGGACCTGCCACTGGCACCAGAGCACCCAGGATGCTGAGGGTGAGTCACAGCCCTGCCTTGGTGACACCACACTCTGCCCCTTTGGCACCCCATCCGTTCTCTACACTGTAGAGAAATTTAACCAAAATACAACAATTTAGTGACTGGTCTCCAATGCAGGAGACAGCTCCATATTACAAAGCCTTCTCTAATTTAACCTGTAATTATTTATTGAGCAACTTCCTGCTAGAGAAACTTACATAAAGCCATTAGGTAAGAGGACAACGTATCTTCAGTTATCCTCCTTGTAAGTTAGAGAATAGAAAGGAACATCTTTATTTCCCAGCAAGCACGCCCGCTCTTGTCAGAGCCCCATGAACCACACAGCTCCATATTACAAAGCCTTCTCTAATTTAACCTGTAATTATTTATTGAGCAACTTCCTGCTAGAGAAACTTACATAAAGCCATTAGGTAAGAGGACAACGTATCTTCAGTTATCCTCCTTGTAAGTTAGAGAATAGAAAGGAACATCTTTATTTCCCAGCAAGCACGCCCGCTCTTGTCAGAGCCCCATGAACCACTGGCTACGGGCTGGCAGAGACCACGGGCAGGACAGGGCATCACACAGACCGTGATGCTCGTCCTCCTGACTCCCTGCACCTTGGAAAACACTACCAGGGCACCCAGCAGCAGCTGTTGGCAGCGAGAAGCCCCCCGAGTGTTTCAGACCCCTCGCTCTCAGCTCGCCTCACAGCCGGGGTCACGCACAGCCA